CCATGTGAAACCTTCATAGTCACCTTGAATAAAAATAGATGCGACTTTCGTCATTGTGATGACCCAGAATGCAGTTTCATAAGAATAAATAAAATTGTAGATTCCAATAATGCACTTATGCACCAAAAAAGTGGTTGTAGTTTATGCCTTTCACTATTAGAGAATTTCTATATTCGATGTCTGATCTTTACGATTCGTTTTCATGAGTCGACTTCAAACTGTAATATCTCAGGGAATACTTATTCAATTCAATCGAAATGAGCGACATTTCCATGTATAGAGTACAAAATTCTCTATCGATTAGTATATACCACGATACAGTAGAACAAATATTTATTGAAATATGGTGCTACAGAAACACATGCCGTCAAAACGGACAACTTTTCAAACAACCATGGTTTCCAATAAAAGTTATAGTCTAACTAAACGATATTGTGCACTCTTGAAGTTGGCGGCACTCTCAAAGGCCAAAAAATCAATACATAGAAATGAACCGGCAGCGAAGTAGTCCACGTGGACTGTAAACTTGGCGGTTTGAATTGGATAATTTCTGCTAACCGAGTTTTATGGTTGGCTGAAGAGTCATTAAATTGAATTTGAAGTCATGGTGATGAATAGAAATCAGGAATGCGTGGATGGTTATCGCCATCGTGTTCAGTACAGGTCAGTGTTTATTGAAATGGATTGGCTCATCCACGGCGATGGAGTTATGATGTTTGCGTAGATAGGCGGTAAGTGGGAAAGTTTGGTTCTTTCTGAGAAGGATAATTTGGATTTGTTGTAGTTTACGATTCGGTTGGCATGGAATGTGGTTTCTTTGAGGGACAAAATAAGCACAGCGTATGACAAACTCAAGATCTTTCTCCATGTATTGTTCTCATGATACTGTTCTCTAATATCATTTCAAAAAGTGTGAAAAAGAAGCAGAGCAAGAAATTTGCCTGCAACTTTCTAATTCATCTGCCTTTTCCATTTTGAATAATGAAATTGCAAGTGATTCTATAGTTTTACTATTTGCATTATTTGATCCAATTCTGTGATAGTCTTTTTGGCAATTTGATATTTGTTTATATTAGGCGTAGAGAAATATTTCCATGGAGTGCAAAAAAGGCAGAATATTTTCCTCAGTTTTAACCCTTCCTCGATAAAATCCTGCGATATCTAGGTTCGTTCTATAATACGTATATTACAATTGAAAATGTATTGAATATAGCCATAATAATAGTAATATTCATTTCATTGCTTGAAAAGTACAGTTGAAATAAATCAATGTACAAAAAACAAAGAAAATATCAAGTCCAAAAGTAAATATAAAAAACATATAAATGTAAATAACTACATGTAACCATACCACAAAAGTCAGTCAAAATAATGTAAACAACACAATAACACAAACAGTGTAAGAGTATTGATAAACATCCATAAGTAATAGAAGTAACAGAAGTATAAATGTAAATAGTTGTAGACTATAAAAAAGTCAATATATCATAAATAACACACATTTTCTCAAGTATTCTGTAATTCAAAGCAGAATACTTGAGAGGAAACACTATAACCAAATTTTGCTAAGGCTGAAGTTCTCAGGTTAGTCGATTAGTGATCTTGAATGGTGTAACAAGTCCTTTGAATTAGCAATTATTCCAGCTGGCTTTTGAAAATAATAATATTCAGGGAATTCTTAAGAGTTATTGAGAGCATATTATATTATTTACAGCCACTGTACTCTACGTTTCTTTCATACAGAGGAATTCTATGAGCGTTTGGTAAGAATATCTCTTCAGAACGAGTATTGTGGTTATATTTTGGAGGAGAGGACTAAAAACTGTATTTACTTCTGTAAACATATGCACTAGCCTCTAGTATATAAGCGTTGGCAACTGTAATAATTTTCAGCTGTTTAAAACCATATCTACATGAATCTCTGTGCTCTAGCTTAGCTATTATTCTAACAGCATGTTTCTGGAGGAGATATATCCTTTTGACAGAAGCACTCATACTCCAGTTGAGAATACCATATCGGAAGTGTGACTGGAAGTTAGCATGGTACAATATTGAGACTGTACTAGAGCTGCATTTGACAGGAATCTAATAGAATGGAAGCTTTTCTTCAGTTCATCACATAATGTATAAATATGTTGATTCCACATTGATTTTTTCATCTCGAACAATTACTAGCATATTTACAGTTTCTACAGGACTAATTTGACCACGTCTGCTGAACAATATGGTGTTAGTTTTAGATTTGTTGAGTTAAAAATTGTTCTTTCCAGCCCACAAGATGATTTTGTCATTTATATCCACAGCAGTTTTTTGGAGTGCATCCATGTTGTCTTCAACAGTCAAAATATGTGTATCGTCAGCAAAACTTGTAACGAATGCCGAGTTTGTTTTACTTATGAACGAAATTAGATCATTAGCAACTAACAAGAGAAAGAAATGGCCTAAATTCGAACCCTTTTTAAGTTACACAGTTCTCCACACCATGACAAACTACAAACGTTTTATTTTTTGTCGATTCAATAAGATCCCTGAAAATAATGTTTTGATGAGGAAACGTTCTCAATTAGCAAAAAATATTGTTCACCCTGAATATATTCATTCACTATCAAATTAGTAAAACGTCAGCTACGCCACTGCTGCACGATGATATCTTATTCAAGGAATAATTACGGCAGGTCATGGTACAACGAGAACAAATAACAATTTTTATTCATTGCCAACTACCTACTTTACTATATTAAGGTGCTTACAAATTGTAGTCTTTTTTGATTTCGTTTGTTTTTGAAGGTTTTGTACCGCCGGAGTTTATGTCATCCTTGTTGCTCTCGGCCGTCGATGAAATTTAAAGAATTTTCATGGCTTTTTTACTTTCGATTCTTTTTGTCGTCGGACATAACGATTCGTTATCTGCGTGATCATTTTTTGTTTTTGGATGCTGGAGAGGCTTTCACGGAGAATGACATCCTAATTTTGATCTCGATCACCCGTTTGATGAAAAATATCCAAAAGCAGTATATGCCGGATTTTTCAAAGAAATATCGAGTTGTACTACTAGAAATACCTAGTTCGAAAATATTCCCAAACTATAAAGTGCATTTCTTTAATGTGCCCCCCCTTTTATTTTTTGAACTGGTCAACTCAAAAAATTGAAATTTGGGATAATAAAATTAATGCCTGAATACTTCATTTTGAAGTGAAATTGATAGATGCAACTTTCAAGATGGCGACTTGGCGCCATCTGGGAAATAAATTGATTGGAAAGGGGGGTCTTATGACAAATCATTTTAAAGCTCCAAACCAATATTTCACAACCCCAGAATATGAAGTCAATATCTTCACCTACTACAAAATGGCGAAACATTTAATAATTTCCTGAAGACAAACACATTAATATCGACATTGTTGAATGTTTCCATCAAACTGATTCTCAAAGTTTTCATGCCAATAAGATCACTATATGATTCATCACTAATGCAAGATGACCTAGATAGATTGGTTACATGGTGCTCCGAGAATAATTTACAGTTGAATATCGCAAAATGCTGTTTTATAAGTTTTTACAAAAGAAATAAAAAATTTGATACTTCTTATGTAATTAATGGCCATGGATTATCTTATGTTTCGTCTGTGAAGGATCTAGGTGTTTTTTTGATGAACAACTTCAATTTTTAGACCACTTGAACTATATTGTGGTAAAGGCGGCAAAATGTCTTGGATTTATTTTACGACATGGTAAACATCTGTCCCTTCAAGTCTTAAGGATAGTTTACTTGTCTCTGGTAGTATCAATATTAGATTATGGCTCAATGATATGGTCTCCATTTTATGACAATCACAACCTTACTCTTAAAAGAGTTCAAAACAAATTCCTAAGATGTTATGCTCATAGAATGAGTATACCTGCTATTGACCATGATTATAGCAACATTTCAGAAATCCTTAATCTCAATCTGTTGAGAAAAAGGAGGGAAAACTTTGATCTAATTTTCATATACAAGTTACTGAATGGCTTAATTGTTGCTCCTGAAATTCTAGAAAATATTAATTTCAATGTCCCAAACAGAATTCTGAGGTCCAGCGATTTGTTTCACTCACGGTTTCATTCTACAAATTATGGCTTACATAACCCTGTTGAACGTACACTTCGACTTATTAATGAAAGAAAATTGGAAGTAACTGGTATATCTCTCAGCAAATTCAAAAACAATCTCTTAACTGCATGGTAGTATTATGATATGTATTTTATAATAACTTACGTTAATGTAATGTAGTATATTACTTTATTATATAATTGTTGATTTTATTCGCAAATGAGGGTGATCCCGTAAAATAAATAAATAAATATCAATATTTCTGGAAATATTCCTTTTTATCTGCCGCATGGCAATTCGAACAACCCAATAGGGTTTGTTAAGTTAGTTTTTGTTTATGAAAACGTCAAAACATCATTGTTCAGTTAAAATATTCTCATTTAGATTTCGGTTTTACTAGTAGAAAGGTACCATGTCAACAATCTCTGAAATGGTCAATTCTCATCCATGTGTAGAGCTGTTTCTGTCCCTTCGTTGCATAATCTCCAGCTGAGGTCTCCTTTGTACAGCCCCATTTTATTCAGGGGTCCTCTAAGCGAACAATGACCGGTTAGTAACCCTGTAATTATTCTGAGCCGATCCCTACTATATTGAAGTAGTTCTTCGGTTCTTTTCTCGGACGGTTCCCTAATGAAGGTTCCACTGTGTTTGTTGCCAGGTACTTTTGTCCAGTACTCTGTGTACTTCTTATTGGTCCATGTCCTAATCTGGTTTCGTAATACGAACTTTTAAAAAATATGTATTGTATTATTGTATTGTTAGTATTTTTAGGTGTATTTTTCGTTTTTATCAAGATGTATTGTAATTTTATCCTGATTCGGAACCGAACACGGTTATTAGACTTATCTCATGTCATGTAAATGATTCGAAGAGATCAATAAATCTATCTATCTATCTATACATTTTTAAACCAAGTTGAGATCCGGATAAATCTTGGGCAACCTGAGATCTACCATAACCATTATGAATTTCCGAATATATTTTACATAAATATTGAGGAAAAGATCGTTTTTATGTTTACCATCACAGAGGGGAAGCATTTTCTCATGATAAATTTTTATGATGAAATCAAACCAAAGCGAGATCTACGAAATAATACAGCTAAGTCGAGATCCTACAGTGGATATATTGACGTTTATTGGTAAAGGTGAGATCCCGCGCTGTTGTCAATAGTAAAAATTCAAACCTTGTTGTCCCTTGTGGAGCAGCACTCTTTAAGTTAGTTTAGTTTCGTTCGGACCTATTTGAGTGAAGGAGTGATTAATTTTGCATCGAATATGACCGCTCGTAGTAAAAGACTGGTGGAATTGGCTCTGAATAAGGAAGTAAAGCATACTGCAGAAAGGGAAGGTAAGTTAAATCATGATTTTTTTTTATTCTGCTTTTATTTCTGAATTCCCCAAAGAGCCATAGGCATGAGTACATTTTCATATGGTTCGAAATATGACGTTTCCGCATTTTAATGTAAGCAATATTTTTCATAATATACTCTTATGCTACTGATTTTTCTTTAACATTGATTCTACTAGAATTATGTCGCACGGATAATGAGCACTCTCAGCACTCTGAAAACGAAAATTCGTTCTGTAAGGACTACGTAGTGGAGGATTTAGAAGGAGGGGAAAATGTCTGGAATGAATTTAATGAATGGAAACAGAAGCAAATTGAAATGAACGAAGAAGTTGAATCAAACCACACTGAAGAAGAATATAAATCATCAACGGATTTTATTGATTCATCAGTAAGTTTTTTCCATACTTTCAGTTTTGTGTTCGAGTTATATCACTATTATAAAATATTTTCTGTATTTGCTAGACATCTTGGATTCCAGATGAGGAGAAAGAATCCAATTCAACAAGTGAGTGTCCGTCAGGTACTTCAGAAGAAATTCCAATTCAAGAATTGTTGCAATATCAGGTACTCAATATATTATTTATTTTAGGCGATGTAATTAACTTGAATAATATGTATCGGGGAATCCCAGTCGCGTAGGAACATAAACTTGGAGTTTGAGATGAATAAATGCTTGGTAATTCGTATCAAAATTGATACATGCAACTCCAAAGGTCGCTAATTACAGAATTTTGATCGAGAATCGGTTTAATTTTTTTTATTACAACCTTTTTTTAACTTGCTTCGATCGTATGTCAGTCTTACCGGTTCAAAATTTGTAATCCATTTTCAAGCATTTGCTGGCATCCGATTGAGCTGAAATTTGGTAGGTGTTCATAATTCCGGTGACAATGCATTATGAAATTTCTGTTAGAGAAAAATACAAAATGGCGGACGAGTTTTGCGATTATAGTCCGAGTCTATTTGAAATTGGTATGTGAAGATTTTCGGGGTTATGAATTTTTTCTCAAAATTCATAAATTCAAGATGACGGAGCAGTTTTGCGATTATGGTCCGATTCTGTTCAAAATTGGTATATGGGGTTTTCGGGGTCGGATATTATGATTTTTCTTTCAAAATTCATAATATGAAGATGGCGGACGAGTTTTGTGATTATAGTCCGATTGTATTCAAAATTGGTATGTGCGGGTTTTTGCATTCGGAGATAATGATTTTTATAAAAATACATGGGATGAAGATGGCGACGAGTTTTGTTATTATGGCCTGATTCCATTCAATATGGTATGTGGGGGTTTTTGGGGTCGGATATCATGATTTTTTTGTCTAAATTAAAAATTTCAAGGCGGCGGACGAGTTTTGTGACTTCTATTCAAAATTGGGATCTAGGGGTTTTTGAGGTCGGATATTATAATTTTTTCGTTTAAATCAAAAATTTAAGATGGCGGACGCGTTTTGTGAATTATGGTCCGATTCTATTCAAAATTTGTATCTATGGGTTTTTAAGGTCGGAAATTATAATTTTTTGTGAAAATTCAAAAACTCAAGATGGCGGACGATTCTATCAAAAATTAGTATCTAGGGGTTTGTGAGGAGTTTTTTTTGAAAAAATGTTTGACCATCATGAGTGATTCATTTATATGATGAAATAAAGCCGTTTAACTCAAAAGAAAAAATTATTCCTTCATAAATTCGTTTTAGGAAAAAAAATATTCGCAAGAGAATATGATTGATATCCAAAATACTAGTATTGCTTTAGTTCTTGAAGAACAAACCCCAGCATCAATCAGCAATAAAAATCTTCAAGACGTCAGACCGACAGTGAACATTATACAAAATATCATCGTAAGTTATATTACCTGTTTCAGTTAGAGAAACAACATTTCAAAAAGAAGTTCTGAATACAATATAATTCAATTTCAGTTAGATTCAACCAAAGAAAAGGAACCAAAAACAGTAGTACCAGAAAAAAAAATTAAAATAGAGGTGAGAAAAGCTGATCTGAATTTAAAATTGTATTGATATAAAAAGAGAATTATTGTAATTTTCTAAATATACCAAGTCACACAGAATGGCCCTATTGAAACTGCCATTCTCGAACATGACGGCGCCTCTGTTGATTATAGGCGATTTCAAATAAAAATGCATCCTGCAAAATATTTAAACCTACGTTGTTAGTAGATATTTTCATATATCTTTTATCGACCATGTGTTTTCATTGCTTTCATAACATTACTTTCAACAGTCTTTTGGTACTTTGTATTTGTTTACCAAACTATATAAAATAATGAAATTACTATACTCCATATTTGTTCACAAACGCTAGTGCCACTATCAGTTCATACGATTTCTATTTGAAAGAGAGCTATGCTATAATAACACTGAACTTTCTCAAGTCAAACCTCTAGGGGGTAGCATCTTTTTAATTCCTTTCAAGAGCGATGAGGATCAAATTATACCTTCTCTAGAAGTCTGTCGAATAGNTGAGTAGTTTAGCATTGAAAGACCTCAATGAAAAACACGGAAAAAAAACCCACTCGCTACCTATAACAAGCGATGTCATTAAATTTAGAGAATATGTCGTCAATATTGCTGAACAGAGTGTTGATGTATTGAAAGAAAATATTAATGATCTGAAATCTTTCAAAACATTAACCGAGGCTATTCTTGTATTGACTGTTCTATTGAATCGAAAAAGAGTTGGTGATGTGCAATATATTAAACTCGATTCTTATAAGAAGAGTACAACCAGCAGAAATCAAGAAGAATGCATTAATGTATTATCTGAGTCAGAAAAGCTGTTATCTGTGTATTTTAAAAGAATTGTTTCCATTGGAAAGGGCAGCAAATCTATTCCAATTCTCTTCCCCAAAAATATTCAGACATATATTGAAATTCTTCTATCTAGCAGAGAGAAAAATCAATTGGTCCCAAATGAAAATCCATTTCTATTCGCTTTGATCGGAAGTAAAGACAAATGGATGGATGGATCATCAGTTCTTCGTAAATATGCAGCATTATGTGGCGCTGAAAATCCAAAAACATTAACGTCCTCACGTCTAAGGAAACAAATAGCTACAGTTCTACAAGTCATAAATTTGAATGAAACGGAGAAAGAGCAGGTGGCGTCTTTCATGGGACACACAAAAAAGACCCATGAAGAGTTTTACAGGTGAAGTTACTTATATGTTTGAATGTTTCATATTTCATTGCTTCCTCACGTGATAAGTGGTTTTACCAATTCAACCATATTCCATATACTATATTGAATTTGAAAATGAGAAGTTAAGTGTCAAAGAACTTTCTCTAAAACTATAAGGAAAATTCATTACAAGTAATATTCGTAGTTTGAAAGTTGTTTGACAGTACTGTGCCATTACACTTCCATTTCCAAATTGACTCACATTCCCAAAAACCATACAATTAACTAATTAACTGCATATTTATATAATTATGCATGTATAGGCTTCCACAAGATGTATTCCAAACAGCGAAAATAGCCAAATTGTTATTGATGATGGATAAAGGAGAGGGGGCAGATTTCAAAGGAAAAACTCTTGAAGAAATCGATATTCATCTGGACAAAAAAAGACCCATGAAGAGTTTTACAGGTGAATTTACTTATATGTTTGAATGTTTCATATTTCATTGCTTCCTCACGTGATAAGTGGTTTTACCAATTCAACCATATTCCATATACTATATTGAATTTGAAAATGAGAAGTTAAGTGTCAAAGAACTTTCTCTAAAACTATAAGGAAAATTCATTACAAGTAATATTCGTAGTTTGAAAGTTTTTTGACAGTACTGTGCCATTACACTTCCATTTCCAAATTGACTCCCATTCCCAAAAACCATACAATTAACTAATTAACTGCATATTTATATAATTATGCATGTATAGGCTTCCACAAGATGTATTCCAAACAGCGAAAATAGCCAAATTGTTATTGATGATGGATAAAGGAGAGGGGGCAGATTTCAAAGGAAAAACTCTTGAAGAAATCGATATTCATCTGGACAATTTAGAGGAAGAGAACTGTCCAAAAATAGAGAGCGATATAGGTAAATCATCCCAAGTATATTCCAATTACTAAGTCTTGAAGGGTACAAACAGAAAAGTCGATTTCTATTATTAGGAGGCATGTTTCAATTTAAAAAACCGATTTTCTTCTACTTCTGTGCACTCCAGGGCCCATAACACAATACTTTAAAATGAAATTTTCAGTTAAGGCTGCAGGTTGTTTCATCAAAGTACTCCATTGTTTTTCAAACAGCTCACCCGACAACACCTTGAATAACTTAAAGATCGAAGTTATCAAGGGTGTTGCGTTTTGAATGGCATATCTTGTATATGTTTTTCACTGAACTAAATTCTGAACTTAATAACTTGATTTTTTTTCTTCAATTTTTTTTTAGATTCTGATAATGAAGCAGAGAAAACTCAAACACCTGTAGATGAGGATCACCATTTCAGCACTAAATCTAACGAAGGTAGATTACACATTTACTTAAAAGTTTCAGATTGATTATTTTTTTATAGGAAATGATTTTAAGAGGAAGGGAATGGGTAAAAAAACAAAGTTACGTGGATCGTGGAGCAGCAAACAAAAATCTTTAATGGAGAAGTTTTTCAAAAAACATATTTGTGAAAAGATTACTCCTAAGAAGGAAGAGTGCCTACAGTTAAGAAATGAATACAAAGATATGTTCGAAGACAAAACTTGGGTGCAAATAAAAGTTTTCATTTATAACACCTTCAGAAAGGAAAAAAAAATGAGTTCCTATTAATAAAGTGTCAATAAGTATTCACGTGTCTTCTTATTGTCATCTTGTGGTACCCAGATTTTGTGTAATTTCTGATTTACCAACAAAAATATAATAACTCAATACACATGGTTTGAGGTTTAGTATTTTATGATTGTCTATAATTTCTCTAGAACTCCCCCAGAAAATTCTTGAGAAAATGTTTCACCTCACATCACACGACTACTATGAGAAAAGAAAATCGGTTACCAAACTTTCCCTCTTCAAGCTTTTTAATTCTGGAATTCTCAATATTTAACCATTGATGGATCAAATTGCAACCATTTACTTCGGACGTTCTTTGAAAGAAGCGAGATGTCACAGACGGATGTGTGAGTGATTCTATGAACTATTTCAGATTACATATCCTTAGGAACGAGCAAAACATATTTTTCATCAGCCAACTTTCGAAAAAGGTCATTTGAATACCTACCGAAAATCCAAAAATATATTTTTTTTATCTCTCTTATGTTTCAGAAAAGGTTTTGGGAACTTTCGATTATGAAATATAAATTAAGGACTCTTAGCTTTTATTCAATTGCACTGAAAAGAATAAAACACGTAATCGCACATCTGAAGAAATTTTATTTTATTTCTTTGAATAAAAGTTTGTCCTTATTTTTCATATCTATTCGATTCTTTTTAGTCATTCAGTCAGCACCTTCAAGAACAAAAATCATAAAATCCCCTTAAGATTCCTGAATTTTGACAAAAAATATATTTTTTGAAAAATAGACTGCTGATACTTGATGAAAGTCCATAATTGTTTAACTCCACCTGATGAAGCGAAACACGTGTCGTGGTCCAGTTGACCCTAAGTTTCATATAGTGAAGTTTAACTCTATTCTTTAAAATATCTCCCTCCCCAAAAATCACTTGATACAATTTATTCAAGAATCTAATAATCACAAATTTGTCCGCCATCGTGAATTCCGTAATTATGACAAAAAATCATATTCTCAAGACACCAAAAACCCCATATACAAAGTTAGTATAAAATCTTACCATAAATCACAAAATTCGTTTACCATCTTGAATTCTTAAATTTTGGCAAAAATCATATCCAAAAAACCCTGATACCAATTTAGAATAAATATTTTGACGTAAAATTCATAATCATCTACCTCAAAATGTCTGTTATGCCAATTATAACGAAAATCGTCTGATATTTTGCAGCCGTCATTTCAAAATCTTAAATTTTGATTAAAAAACCAATACCACCAATCTCAAATTTTCAATAGAATCAAATATATTCAATATTGTGTTCTCCACGAGATCCCACCTTCATATTTCCATAGTGTAGATAAATCAGAAAAAAAATCATCATAGGGATAGTGAAACAAAATGTATCTTTTTCTATGCTATGGTAAAGTATACAATATGATAAATTCAGATATCATGAGCTCCACGACGTTGCCGGATTCTCGGATCTCGCTTTAGTTAAAATATCTCCACTTACATACTCCGCTCGTAAGCGCCCCCTACCCTCAACAGTCGAGAACTATCCTGTGTATTTTATCCCCATAAGCATTATTTTCACAACGTTTCGGCAAAGTCTCATTTGCTATCTTCTGGCCATGTCTGAAGTTTTTCAACTAGACTAGTTACTTTTTTCCAATTTTTGTCTGGAAGTTACTTCTTTGCATCATCCACACATCTTTGTGTAGAGTTTATTTGTGAATTAACATCATTACCACAAATAATCCATAACTATGAGGAATATTGCCAAAACGATCACAACATTGAGATAAATATAAAATAATCAAAGCTCTGCCATTCAACGAACAGTAGGCTCTCATTATAACATGAAATAAACCGATTTTCTTGTCGTGAAGCTTAATGCATGCCCCTACGCAGAGCTGCTAGTCATCACCGCGGTCGAGAGAGATGACGAAGAGAAGAGAAAGATTGAAGAAACAGCTGCCTACTCGTTCATGTCTCGAGGCGCAACTGCTACTCTGACTCAGATTGTTGTTCCTGCTGGTAAATGCGGTGGAGCAGGAAAATTACACGTTGTGTTCCCATTTGAAATTGGTAGAGAAATTATGAATCAGCGTGGCTCTGAACGCACGGAAAGAGGATGGGGACTTGTAATGGTATTTTGCCCAGCAGGCTGCTACCTACGAATATTTTTGACTTCAACTGAACGATTTTTTTAATAATTTTGTGTGATTACTGTTTCAAACGAAACCATAATTCTTCAATCTCAAGATATTCATTTATTTATTCATTGATGAATTTCATTAGTTCGGACTTCCATTGTCTGATATTATATAAAATAATTTGAAATCCATGAAATAACTAATAATAAAATCCTCTTCGATTCATTATTAAATGAAATAAATTAAAAAGTCAAGAGATTCCAAACTAAGTTAATTCACGACGTTTCGATTGTAGTATCCACAATAGTCTTCGGGTGATGACTGGACTTTAAACCAGTGAAGCGGAAAAAGGAAAGCAGAGATAAGTGAGAGATGACCGTTTGGCGGGAGTTGACCGTTTTTCGCTTGATAATGGTTTTCCATATGTTACGTATCTCTACGCTAGCTTGCCTGAATACATTGTTGGACAACATGAATGCGGCTTCTTTGAATTTTCTCCTAAACCAATGTTTTTCTTTGTGTATGATCTCAGCTTGGGAAAATTCGATGTTTTTTTGATGGGTCCAAACATACTCTGATATTCCTGATTTGCTGGTTTCCCCTCGCTGTGTGTGAGATTTTCCGCACTGACAGGGTATAATCTGGTAAATGCAATTTTTGGAATCGCAGTTCTCCTTTGGTGGCCAGATTTTCGTAAGGCTGCTACGGATAGTGTTTCCGGATCTGAAGCAGGTTCTGATGTTGTACTTGGATCCAATTCTTCGTATCTTTTCCGATAATCCTCTGATGTAGGGAAGTGCAAGCACTGGTTGTGACGGCTTCACTTTTTTTCGGGGCTCCTGCTGTCTTTTAGCCAAAGTCTGTTACACCATCGCTTTGGAGTAGCCGTTTCGTTGAAGATAATTTTTGATGAAGTCTAGTTCCTTCTCGAGACCTTCCTTCATATTACAATGTTCGAAAGTACGGTCTAATAGAGTTTTGATGATTCCTCTTTTAGTCGGTTGATGGTGGTTGGATTTGTGGTTCAGATATTGTCCCGTGTTTTCGGTGTTTTCGTGGGTTTTCGGTATACAGATGTTTCCCAATTAATGTCGTTCCTCTTCAACAATACGTCCAAGAATGGCAATTCGTTGTGGGCTTCCTTCTCCATTGTGAAAGTGATGGAAGGTCTTACGCTGTTGATGTGTTTTAGGAAGGCGTCTAGTTCAGTATTCCCATGGTTCCATATCATGAAGGTGTCAACGTATCTCAACCAGACACGAGGTTTCTTGTGGGTGTCTTCAATAGCCAGAGTTTCAAACCACTCCATATATATGTCGGCTATGACTGGTGAAAGTGGCGATTCCATTGGCAGTCCCTCATCTTGTGTAAAGAATTCGTCCTTCAGTTGGAAATAACAGTTTTGTACACAGCATCCTAGTAATTCCATAATTACTTCTATAGGTAAATTCGTTCTATCTTTCAGGTCCTCGTCTTCGGATATCTCCCTCTGTATGATTTGCAGTGCTTCTTCGACAAACGTTAGTATAAAGGCTTTCCACGTCGAAAGTGATTAGTTGATCTTCATGTGTGACTTCAATTGCCCCTAGTAGTTCGACAAAATGCCTTGAATTCTTCACAAAAGACGATGTTTTTCCTTGTAATGGTTGTATTAGACCATTCTAGACAAGTTTTGAGTAACCGAATCTCTGGAGCTGATAATCGGTCTAAGCGGAACGTCCTTCTTGTAGATTTTGGGTAATCCATACAAGTGAGGGGGCTTACTGTGGTGCGGTGTTAGCAATGATCTTTCCTTGTCCTTGCTTAATATAATTGTTTTTCCAGCTACACATTTTTATTTCTGTTCTTCAATTTGTAATTCTTATTTTTTAGTTATTTCAGGAATTTCAAATCATTTTATATAATATCAGACAATGGAAGTCCGAACTAATGAAACTCATCATGAAACATTGTCAATCACCTTCAAACAAATATTTGTTCATTCATTTCATACACTATTCTACAGGATGAACACCATTACAGAATAGAGAAAAACGGTGGCATGTACAAATATGTACTTACATAATATAATTTGAGAATCTATATAAAAAATTATTAAATGAAGAACAGAACTGTCATTTAGTTAAGAAATGTCTTTCCAATTACTATATTGTGGTAGTTGATTATATCTAGGACACAACTAATAGAATTAGAGGTCCTAGGTTTGACTCTTGTGGTACACCAGATGTGGCTAGATATTCGATACACATGAGGCCATTATGTTTACGGTTGTGAAAATACGATTTGAAGGGAGTAATTGAGTCATTGGATATCCCATAAGTCGAAAGCTAGTTGAGCAATGGTCAAGTCTGTCGAACGCTTTAGAAAAATTAATATAGATGACATCAGTCTGAAACTGTCAATCAACACCTTCAGCAATACATTGAGAATTGTTACAAAATCAGTGATGGTTGACACCCTTTCATAAAACCGTGTTGATTGAGGCTAATATTGCTGCTGACATGACAGTAGATTGTCTTCTCGACAGATAGTAAATGATCTGAAATTTTTTATCTCACTTCTATACCTTTTTTTTGAAAATTGGGCACATCAACTGTGCCATGTTGATGGCACAGTTGATGTTTTCAGGTATATATTAATAATAGTAGTTAGTGGTGAATACGGGATATAATACAGATATAGATATAGAATACAGTTGAAATCACTATATATCCTGCTTCTTGACTCAAAATCTCGGACTTCTCATTAATGAACGTCATCAAGTCTTCCAAAAATCAAAAATAATTATGGCAGTGATCGTTTACGGTATAAAGAATAGAGAAATCATACTTCATCAACAGTTATTATTGTCTGTTCTGAAAAAAATATCACGCAAAACCTGGAATGCTCTGTTTAACCTCAA